AGAGGGAGAAGCAGACTCCCCACTGAGCAGGGAACCCGATGTGGGACTCGATCCTGGGACTCCAGGATCATGACCTGAGCTGAAGGCAGTTGCTTAACCAACTGAGCCACCCAGGCGCCCCTTCCCATTTTATTTTTTTTAACGTTTATTTATTTATTCAAGAGAAAGAGAGAGCACATGAGGGGAGACGTAGAGGGGGAGGGAGAGCAGACTCCCCTGAGCATGGAACCCAACCCAGGGCCCGATCTCACAACCCCAAGATCATGACCTGAGCTGAAATCAAGAGTCAGACACTTAACAGACTGGGACCCCCTGGTGCCCTTTGAATCCATTTTAAATGCACTAGGGGCTATTACCAAGGTACACTTTTAGTAAAATAAAGAATCACCCCCTCTTTGTTTTTGTTTTATACACAAAATGTCACATATTAAATTTGGTTGATAAGTTTCATATATATTCTCACTTTCCATTATCTCTGCTAACAGATGACTAATGCAAAATATTGGATAATTTTTTTTAAGTCAATACTTAATTTTTAGAAATAATTAGAGACTCAACTCTGACATAAATATTCACCCCACTCAGTTCCTGGGCCTACTTATGTTAGAGAATAATTATAAATAATTCACAAAGCTGGCATTACTCACTGTATTGTGATAATTTTTCTGGGAAAACTTTAGCAACTGTTCTAATATAGCTTGCCAGTTATCAGTAGTTGGGAATGCAAGTCAGCTTTTAATTAAGCAGAGGCTGATTATTCAGACTACAAACTGGTCATGCCCTGTACTGCTTCTTCCTGCTGCCTACCTTTTAGCATTTTCCCTGCTCATTAGCACATACTCCAGAAGGTAGGCATTGGACAGGGGGGAAAGGAGGAGAAACCAAAATCTGCTAAATACTTACGAGAAGCTCTGATGAAAGGTTTCAATACAATTTGTAGGACTGTTGACTGAAATTGAGTCATTTGGATTCCCTGTGAAGTTTTATTTACTTGTTCTATTCTTGTCCTCCATAGCAACAGATAATAGAATTGTCTGCAGAGAGACAACACTATTCCTATATTTAATGTTTGCCTTTCTAGAACATTTCCACATGGTGGTTCATGATATTTTCTTTATTCATTACATTTGTCCCTAGACTGCTTCATTTCTTCGGTGATTGGTGAGTTGAGATTCCTCATGGTTTTTCAGTTATCCAGAAAACTGAAAGTTTCCCTCTGAAGTACGAGTATCTTTCGTATTTCAACCAGTTTGGTTGAAAATACAATTTCCTGGGTGCCTGGGTGGCTCAGTCGTTAAGCGTCTGCCTTCGGCTCAGGTCGTGATCCTGGGGTCCCGGGATCGAGTCCCACATCGGTCTCCCTGCTCGGCAGGAAGCCTGCTTCTCCCTCTCCCACTCCCCCTGCTTGTGTTCCTGCTCTCGCTCTCTCTCTGTCAAATAAATAAAATCTTTAAAAAAAAAAAAGAAGAAAATACAATTTCCTCATGCTTCCACCAATTGAACACAATTTAAGCCATTCTGGATGCCCAAAGTTATCTAGTGCGTGCATCTTCCTGAGATATGTATGGCTATTACAAAACCCACATAGATATACCATCAGTCTAGGAACCTCTGATTGAGGGAAATGTTACAGTGTAAAGCTTGAGTGGTACTAGTGTTTTTGTTTGCCCTAAAGCTGTTATTCTTATATAAGTTTTCTTCCTCCTTCTCGTGTCTGTCACCCTGTCTCTTTTGCCGTTGTCAGAAAACCTGCCTCTTATTAGTTCTCTGTTTCTCAACTGCTGTGGGCTGAGAAACTGAATAACCAAGCCAGTTAAAACTGTGGCTAAAATAAGAGCAAATAGGACTGCATGAGAGGATAAAGAACTCCTCATCTATGAATATAAGTGTAGGAGCTTTGGTGCAGAAATAGCCTCACTGCTTAGAGGCCTTTTCCTTCCTTCCTAATTTTCAATCATGTAGTTAAATTGCTGGTTAATTGTGTTTCAAAGAAGAGATTGTTTGGGACATGAGACTGTCTTGAATGGAGCTTTTCGTTTTTGGTTTTTTTCCCCAAAGATTTTATTTATTTATTTTTTTAAAGATTTTATTTATTTGTTTGACAGAGAGAGACACAGCGAGAGAGGGAACACAAGCAGGGGAGTGGGAGAGGGAGCAGCAGGCTTCCCGCCGAGCAGAGAGCCTGATGTGGGGCTCGATCCCAGGACCCTGGGATCATGATCCAAGCCGAAGGCAGACGCTTAACGACTGAGCCACCCAGGGGCCCCGATTTATTTATTATTTTTGAGAGAAAGACAGACAGAGCATGAACGGGGGAAGGGCAGAGGGTGAGGGAGAAGCAGACTCCCTGCTGAGCAGGGAGCCCCATGCAGGGCTCAATCCCAGGACCCTGGGATCATGACCTGAGCTGAAGGCAGGCGCTTAACCGACTGAGCCCCCCAGGTACCGCCAGAGAGGTTTTTTTTCAATGACAACTACTGCTGGCTGATTTCCCACAAAGTTGTGACAGACGGCAAAAATAAACAGGTGAGCTTAAGGAATATGATTTTTTTTTTTTTTAAAGATTTTATTTATTTATTTGAGACAGAGAGAATGAGAGAGAGAGAGCACATGAGAGGGGGGAGGGTCAGAGGCAGAA